CACACACACACACACACACACACACACACACACACACACACAGAGATTCTTCAAACCTGTTCCATCCTCTGAACTTGAGACAAGAAAGTTTTTATCCATGCTGAGACTGGTGGAATAAACTGGCCCACTGTGGCCACATAGAGTCTTGTATTCTGAGGCTGTTCTATCATCCATCATTCTTTCTAATACATCATCTGAAATATGAATAAACATTGTTAAAGAACTATCAATCAGAGAGAGAGAAGAAATAAGAATCTAATTTTATTAAATACACTATGTAAAAAAAACAGTTTACACATAAGTCATTCACACAATCACAACTGGAAATTCTAACTTACCAACATCTTTGTCAATCATATCCAACTCCACACCAGTCTTCATACACCGCAACTTATTGGGAGTTGTTGACCAAACTTTGATCACAGCATCACTGAAACCTGCACTGAGAATGCTGGAGTCTTCACTAATTTCTATTGATGTTGTGCTGAAATAATAGTGCAGTTCTACAGTAACAACCACTGACATAGCGCCATATTACTTGATAAAGTAAAAAAAATATAGGATTAATTTCCATGTCAAAGAATTTACAGTGACTCTACTTTTTCAGATGATCAAAGACTTTTTTCTACTTCATCGATATAGTAAGTACCCATTTGTCTTAACATACATTCGAAGTATTTTAACATAAACAGAACACAATCTTACTTTTCATAAGAATTCAACAAAGTGTAAAAACAAATAGATGGTTTATTCTCTTGTGTTATTTTAACTCTCTTCAAGGCTTCCTTGTACGCATTGGCTTTTTCTATTTTGTCTGTGTCTTTGCTGCAAAAATAAGAAACAAAATCTCCTTCAATTCTTATTACGTGATGTTCCCAATTATGCTTATTACCCAATTTTGCAATATGTAGTGATATTTATATCTTCACTGAATGTATCAAAGGCAGAAAGACACATACACTATGTACCAACTTTTCCAGATCAGTTTATATCACAATCAAAAGCTTCCAATATGTTAATGTGCATGATACTTGTTTTATTGCTTTACCAACAAAACCAATTTATATGTTGAACATTTTCTTACAGTTCAGGAAGGGGTATCCTTGTGTTACTGGGAGCATTCGGATCATTTTTTGATTTCTTCATGGACAGCAGATCTTTCTTTTGTTTCTTTTTCTACAAAGGAAAGTTAAGCAGATGGTAGACATTTATTTAAATATTTAAAGATTTCTTTAAAAGGTAACAAACTGAGTTTTGCAAAAAAATATAATAAATAAATAAATAAATAAAAATGCTCACCTTAGGTTTATCTTTATCCTCTCCATCAGCATCATCATCATCGTCCAAGGATATGTTTATATCAGGTTCCTTTAGAAGCCCATACAGAACCTTGGACTTGTTGGCTGTGGCAATAAATACCAATTTTTAATCACAAATTCAAGTTCCACAAGAGGGAAAAAATAATAAATACAAAACATGTTTCCTGCCCATAGCATACCTACTTACTAAAACATAATCTTTATGTTTTTGTATAAATCATCTGTACCACCAATGCCAATTATTATAAATTTCATGTAAATCTTAGAATGAAGTGGGAAAAAAATTCTACATAACAGTATTAAGTTATTAACTCACACATTTCAAACATTTTGCTATTTGAAATTTTGAAATTCAAAATTTACTTGTCAAAAAATATCACTGCACAGAAAATTCTTATATTTTTTTAGCCATCGGATACAAAATGAGATAATTTAAACCTAGAAAGCAAATACTGTGAGGACTCACCTTCTCTCCTGGCTTCCCCAGACATCCCTCCAGATGTGACATCTATTTGCTGCTTGGTTCTTGGTAAACCATCATACACTAACATATACAAGGAAGCATATTCAATATGACCCAAAATATACAACTGCATATGTCAGATATAGCTACTCTTGCACCTGTAACTATTAACCCATATGTTCCTAAAGATATCATTACCTACATACATCAATCATATATTTGGTTTGTTTTTCATATTTTACACATCTTACTTTTCAATGTATTCCAGTGACTGCCTACAGGACTTTTGGTATTTTATAACACTCAATTTTAAAAATAATATGCAGTTCTATTGCCCTTTTTTAAGACAGTCACATTGTCAATGATGATAATGAGTAAGAACTTATACAACTAAAATACCTCCCTGAAACCTGGGAATTTAAAGAATCTGAACCAAAATATAGATGAGGAAAGTAATGTGTTGCAAAATATTGTACATCATCTAACTTACCATCAATAAATAGGCGTTCTTGTATGATGTTTAACAAAAGTGCTTGTTTCTTCTCTTGGAGGTACCTTTTTAGTTGTGTGTAGGACTCCCTTGACATTCTGATGACAAATCTGCTAGTTCTGTAAAAATCATATTATAATTTTATAAAAGCTGTCCTGTGCTTTTCTGCTTTTATAAAAACTGGCTTAAACTGTAGAAGCAAAGCTCCTAACAACTGTCACTTTAACAAATTTTTAAAAAATTGTCTATTTCACCAATATCAATAGTGTAAGCAACAATTCAGCAATTCTTGAACTTTGAAAATCAGAGATCCTCCAGTAGGCAAAAATTTCTGATGTTTACAATATGTCTAAGATGTAAAATCTAGCCTAATAATTAAAT